CAATTATATCTTATTTAAAAATGTTTTGGTTATTTTTTAAAGTTTCTGAAAAACTGGTTTTCTAGAAAACTGGGTCTTCAAGAAACATGGGCAAAAATGCTTTATGCCACTAGAATCAGCTCGTCGAACTCTACAAACTGGGATATCTCCCATTCAAAACGGTAATTCACACTTGGAGACCTTCCCTCGTCAGTAGCGCAACGCAGTACGCCTTAATTTGACAACTTTCGACTACGCCGCTAAGTATGACTTCTGTAATGTTAGCTAGGACAAGTATATAGAAAAATACATCGAATAGGATAGAGAATGAAATGCTATGCTCTTGCAGAACACTAGTAAAGCAGAAAAATCATAAGTGTCATAGCAGTAATCTAAGCAAAAGCTCAGCCCGTATATATACGGGCCCCGTCGCGAAAGGGTTAATATAAAGATTTTCTCGTTGTTGGAAAAAGTTTTAAGAATTATAATGCCGATTGACAAGAAACGAATAAAATGATGATGTTTCAAACGATGATTATATTATAAACCTTTCATTTTTACATGCCCAAGTTATCTTACAAGGATATACTGACGTATGATAGAAAGAAAGAGACAGAGCATGTTTTTGCCATATATGGTTGTCGATATGTCATGAAAGGAAGAATATAAGAAAAAACAAGAAGAAAGACAAAAAAGAAAAGGTTCAATGTCGCTGAATAGTATCTAGAATTGCAAAGTAATATGATATTAACCTACTTATTCTACTGAAAGCAAGAAGGTTTAAACTAAAATTAATTTCAATATATACAAAATCGATGTGACCAATTCTCGAACATATCTGAGTATATTTCAATGTCGTTGATTGTTTATAGGATTTAGTTTCAAAAACTACATTGATACTAATTATTAAAAATTTTCAGTCGTATTTTCTTGCCGATATACCCAAAGTATAAGATAGACAATAGATGATTTAATTAATAAGTTTTTCAAAAATATATTTAATGACTGTATCTCTATTTACTTCTTAAAATAATATAATGCAGAAAAAAATGATGTTCGAATGCGGAATGATCTAACTTGAGTAGGAATATCAATTGGTGTTTTCGATGTACAGTATTGACATTTCTAGAAATAAAGATCGTGTTTTTCTGCTGTAGAATACAAAAAATCAGAATTTTTCATCGAGTTCCTGAGTGGGACAGCTCGATCGACTAATACACGTGCTCCCACGTTTTTTTGTCATTTTTTCGACAAAATGTCGATCGAGCGCATTCAGTGCCGCAACAACCGTTCGCTGTTAAACTTTTATCATATTCAGAATTAGCTTGTCGAACTGCATCGAACTATGTACCACCTAGAAGTTTATTAAAAAGTTTTAACGAAAAAATTGGGGATGATGGTCAATGGCGGACGCGTTAATTACGCGAATGGGTTCTAGCCTTCAGGTTGACTATAACATAGTTTCCAAAGAGCTTCTAAAATCAATTTTCAGAATACATTTCTAAATCTCTTTCTGTTTAAAAACAAAAAATAAACGATATAAACTTGAAATGGTCATACATATGAAAAAGATGCAATTATTCACTGAATTCATCGGATGAATTTAGACTGTATAATCTCCAGAGAATATTAAAAATTCCAGTTAAGGGACATGTGCAGCGCATACTGCGCATTACTTGTTATAATGTTTTTTATTTTGGACAAAACTTTGGTACAGGTAATTTCGGTATCCATTTCTGTTGAAATAATAGTGGTGCATTAACAGTATAAAAATCTGGTCCTACTCTCGTGAATGCCCCAATTTGTAGAGATGCTGTTGCAAGCAGAAAGAGTTGCGTAAACAACCATGACAATGGTGCAGGTAGTTTAAATGGTGTGTGCGCTTCGATAGTACAAGCTATGCCATGTAAAATGAAAAAGATCATATTAGACATATTTGCGCGAGAATCTGTAAAAGTAACAGCAGCTAGATGAACATGAAGAAGACTACTAACAACGAACACTATTAACGAGACGATAGTTTTAGATGATAAATGTTGAAGAACGGGTTGAAAAATAGATTCTCGAAATATAGTGCCAATAAGTTGATTATATCGTCGACCCCAAAATTCACGTAATGACTGAGATAAAAATGGAAAATTGATCAGCGGCTTTAACATGTATTTATCACGAGTGACAGTTCGAATAATAGCGCTCTGAACATCTGAGCAAAATGTATATGATAATACGAAAATATAGAACATAATTAATCTAGCATAACTGTCACTTGCTTTACACATAAGAAGCCATCGATACATCCAATGATTTGTTATTACTTTCACACTAGCAGATATAAAATCATAAAGAATAGGCCATTGTTGCTGTTGATACGATGTGCAACGCACAATTGGTAAGCACATCCACAGAAGTTTTAAGATGAAAGAACGAAATGTTGGACAGTGATTAGGTGAAAGGACGATTAAGTGAATAAGACGAATTGATGCTAACCAACAATATGTCACGAGCAACATGGAAGGCATGTGAAGCGGAGGAAGATCATGACCAACCATATATGTTAGCAGGACGCAAGGCACGAGTGTTAAAATCCAGCGAATGATAGAATTAGATATAAAACGAACGAAATAAAAACCTATAAAGAGCAGCATAATCCAGCCGAGGAGAATAAATATTGGAGATGGCATATTAATATAAAGATTTTCTCGTTGTTGGAAAAAGTTTTAAGAATTATAATGCCGATTGACAAGAAACGAATAAAATGATGATGTTTCAAACGATGATTATATTATAAACCTTTCATTTTTACATGCCCAAGTTATCTTACAAGGATATACTGACGTATGATAGAAAGAAAGAGACAGAGCATGTTTTTGCCATATATGGTTGTCGATATGTCATGAAAGGAAGAATATAAGAAAAAACAAGAAGAAAGACAAAAAAGAAAAGGTTCAATGTCGCTGAATAGTATCTAGAATTGCAAAGTAATATGATATTAACCTACTTATTCTACTGAAAGCAAGAAGGTTTAAACTAAAATTAATTTCAATATATACAAAATCGATGTGACCAATTCTCGAACATATCTGAGTATATTTCAATGTCGTTGATTGTTTATAGGATTTAGTTTCAAAAACTACATTGATACTAATTATTAAAAATTTTCAGTCGTATTTTCTTGCCGATATACCCAAAGTATAAGATAGACAATAGACGATTTAATTAATAATCCGCTTTGGATCCTTCAAACTTGTTGAAAAACACATGGCACTGAGTTCGCGGTAGAGGTCTGCGGGACCAAACGTTTTTGGTCCCGGTCCCGGTCCCGTGGAAAGAACTCATTTTTGGTCCTGGTCCCGTGGTCCCGTAAATATTTTTTCAAAGTAGCACCCGTAGTTTGAAAGTCAGCGAGTTGTAAATTACAAAGATTTATGTAATACTACTGCAGACACAAGTTCAAAAACATTAACAAAAAAACAAAAATATGAAGAGCAGGATGGTGATAATAACAAGCAAAAACATAATGATAGTGATAACGATGAAATGGCAACAACTGCAACACTTGATGATGACTTCTTTTGATAGATAAAAATGAATAGTATTCAACTATGAACTTTCAACAGTAGACATTTTTCCTTTTCTATTGTTTAAGCTAGAAGAAACTTATAGCTTT